GATGTCATTACGCATTACATTATTTTGTATTAGGACATAGTACCGAGTGAAAACAAGACGTTTTTTCTAGAATTGCCTATTCTTGCACAGAAATCATCCCATATTTCAGTATCGAATAAAAAAGCGACAATATCACAGACTTAACCAAGCAAGTAAAACTTAGATAAGAGGGAATGAATACTTGTTGTACTTACAATTGAGGTAAGAAAAAGATTGTAAGAAATTATAAAAGAAAAATGTCGCCTTTACCTCGTCCCCAGAGCGGAGATTATGTATCGCTTAAGATTATGAAGTAAGCTTATTACAAGCTATTGACCTTAAAATATCGATGCTTTTTTTCTTAAACTAATAGGGCTAACTAGAGATATCAACAATGTGGTTTTGGGAAACAATCTGAATTCTCGGGTGCATCTATATTTATGACGGATGCATTGAAATGCAGGAGTATTTACCATTTATTATTATTATTATTTATTATGCAAAGTTAAAAAAGGGAACTACTAAGTGGGGTACGCAGGCGAAAAATACTTTATTTACTTAAAATCAATGTGTCAAGGCTGGTTCCTATGTAAGTTTCTAAACTAATCCATCATTGGCTGAACTTCCCATGGAAAATAATTAAGATTTAAGGTAAATATGAAGAGTAAAGGTCTCAATGTCATTTCATTTCCCGTGTGATGAGGAGATTCGTATGCTTGCCTCATGGTAGATTAGATATGGCTAGAGAAGTGGCCTGACCTCATTAAAACAACTTAGTTGCATTGTAAGAAGGACCTAGATGGAGTCACCTTGTCTGGAGTTTATAGAATACATGATAATTTCCAGCTTTGAACTTTAGACCTGGTACAGTGACAAACAATGCAAGGAGACCGCGACCATGCTTAAGGCCACACTATATTGGTCTTAATATATTACATGTGATTATGCTGACGAGAAGTCAGCAGGCTTTCATTGGGACCGAATGGGGATGTCCTGAGAACCTCAACAGTATAATGTCCTAGAAGATTCAAATTATGGTAGTTAAGATAGACCTATGAATCCCATAATCACACACTTTAGCCCGAAATAAAAGTCAGTCTAAAAATATTAAAGTATTTTGGCGGGAATTGGAGTAAAGCGAGAATAGACATTCCAAGAATTGCTAGCAAATAATTATAAAAAATGAGCCAAAGCAACAACTAGCAATATCGATTAGAGCTAAAAGAATAGAATGGAGGCGCTCGAGAAAAGAGTCACCATAGAGCAGTTGATCATGAGTTTCACTTAGGTGTACATAGAATTAGCATCAATTAATATTTTCAGGCTTGGACAACCCTCTACTGACGGGAGTTAACGGAGTTATGAATACACTATATAAAGCTAAATGTATGGACCGTGAAGACATTATGTGGGATTGCATTCATCGTAGGTGAACAGAGTAATGAAGATATTAACCACACAGATCTACATTCCAAAATGAAATAAGTAGGAGGTTGATACAAGAATATCATCAGACAGATATAAAGGTTAAAGCTTACCAAGGATTTCTTCGAAAATTTGTCGTAGGTAGACACATGTTTCAAGCTGCTTTACTTGCAGGTCTATTTCTCTAGTAACGAGAAGTAGGTCATCCACCTTTTCTTGAAACTGGAATACGGACTCGGCGAATCGCTGAACAAAGAGACCAAGACGATAAGACTCCCAGGCAAGTGGTATACCTTCTGTTATTTGGAATTGGACGTTTCGTCGCATACCAGCACAAAGAAGACCAATGTTCTGACGACAATTCTCATCAATCTTATTACAGGTGCTCTCATAAGTTCGGACACTTTCAATCAACGAAATCGCAAATGGATAGAACTGATTGGTTTGATGGGCTCGGTTAACTATTACGAGAGGGACACGAAATCCGAGCCATTTCATGTTGCGGACCTGAAAAAGTAGTAAGTATTAAAAAATACGAAAGCAATAAAGATAGGAGGGGAATTGGATTTAATAATGAACATTCGCTATATACTATTAATAATTTCGTCCGTTTCACTCCGAAATCAAGAGCTTCATTTTGGAAAACTCTCAGGAAGCAGCAAACCGCTAGGACCATGACTAATCCACATCGTTGACCAAGTATGAACTTGATATTTACTCCGCACCACACGTTCGCTGACTCGTGGCAGACCTACAAAACCCTCAAGCCATAAACATTTTATTATTATCGGATTCGTAGGTCCATGACCCAGGCTCATAAATGATATTCCATTTCTTAGCTTGTGCATGCATTCGTCATTGTGCTGACCCCCCTTTCGAGTTAATTAAAAACATCTAGCTTGTAAAAT